GGAAAAGAGAAGTTGAGGAAGAACCTAAGCGAGGAGGCGACACCGTTCGGAGGTGATGCAGCGGTGGGAAGAGGTGACTTGCCGGCATCGGAATCGAAGAAGACAAAGTGGACGGAACCGATGAGACTCGAGGAAGATCGCAGACGACGTTGGGTTGGAGATCTATTTTGTTTTCTCTGATTTAACATATAATTTAATTATACATTTGTTTCCAACAATGCCCTTGTCTCATTTAATTGACATGCCCTCCACGTTGCATCTCCAGCATTTTTTTTTTTTATCTAATGTTCCATATTTGCTTTTTGGTTCTCGTGAAATTATGAGTTATTATTATATATATATATATATATATATATATATATATATATATATATATATATAAAAGTTCAATAGAAAATCATTATTAATAAATGAACCAAGGAACCAATCCAAAACGTCGAAATTTAAAGCGATCAACGGCAAAATGAAAGGTTGTAAAATTTTATAATGGTCGCACATGTATCGGATTATAACAAAACACACTTCCTTTTTTTCATTTAAAAATTTTTTTAGGCCAAGTTTTTTATCGAAAAAAAAACCGAATATACCGTTGTTCACGATTTTTCGTCCTCTTTCCATAGAGATCCATTGATTATATATATAAAAAACGTACTTTTTTTTTCGAAAAAAACCCACTTAATTTTCTTAGTTTTTTCAATATTTAAGTTTATTTTTATAAAAAAAAAAACTAATTATACCAAAAATATTAATTTTTGTACTCTATTAATAAACATCAACACCGATTTAAAAAAAAAAAAAAAAAAATCTCGAACAGTGTAGATTCACACTGTGAATCTAAACTGTAAATATTTTAATTTTTAACATTCACAATATGAAAAATCTCGAACAGTTCAGATTCACATTGTGAATCTGAATTACTATTATGCACACTGTGAATCTAAGAAAGTTCACCAAAAAAAAAAAAAAAAAACCTCAATCAGTGTAGATTCACACTGTGAATCTAAACTGTAAATATTTCAAATTTTAACATTCACAATGTGAAAAAACTCCGATCAGTTCAGATTCACACTGTGAATCTGACTTATTATTATGCACACTGTGAATCTGAGGAGGTTCACAATATGAATCTGAACATGTTTATAATATGAATTTGAACAGGTTCACAATGTGAATTTGAACTGAAATATCGTTTTTTTTTTAACATGAATATGAATCTATGTTTAAAAAATACAAAAAATATGAATTTTGATATATTTATTAAATTTTTTTCTATAAAAAATAGACCTTAATTTTTTCATCAAAGAAAATAAAGTGGGTTTTTTTCGAAAAAAAAAAGTTCGTTTTTTATATATCATCATGGATCTCTATGGAAAGAGGACGAAAAATCGTGAACAACGGTATACTCGGTTTTTTTTTTTTGGGTAAATTACATCGTTGGTCGCTCGTGTATATGCTAGAAAGCGTGTTTAGTCCATATTTCCAAAATTTAACTCGTGCAGTCCCTCGTTGTTATTTATCTTGCACGGTTAGTTCCTATGCACGTTAACTGTTAAATGCTTCCGTTTAAGCTACCCACGTGCCTTGCACGCAGGGGCATTTTCGTCTTTTCAGGGTTTGTGTCCATTCTTAATGTCGTTGCACCTTAAAATCTTATAAAACACTGCAACCCTCTTTTCCTCTGCTATCCTCTCCTTCGTCTCCTCCCATCGTTCGATCGATTTCTTCCAAATAGATAACAATGATCGATATTAAATGCAATTGTGGAGCCACTGCAGTGATTCGCATATCTTATAGCAAAAGAAACCCTGGGAAACTCTACTATGCTTGTACAGTAAAGGTAAGGTTAATGATTTTAATTTCGTTCTTCATCTTCTCTAATTTTGCCCTAATTCTTCATCTACTTTAATTGGTTCAGGGACCATTATGCAAGTTCATAGGATGGGTGAATGATTATGATCAGGACTGTGATTGTATGGAGTTTAGGATGAAACTTGAAGAACAAAATCGAAAATTGAAGCTTTACCTAGTTATTAGCTGGGTTTTTTTTGTTTCAGTCCTTATATATAAAGTGTAGGTTTAGTAATGAAGTTGGTTTTTTTTTTTTTTGGAAAGAGAAAAATTTGCGTGTGGCAAGGATCGAACCCTTACCAGTCGATCTACCAAGGAACATTAGTAATGAAGTTGTTAGTATTTTGTTATGTGTATTTTGTATTGTTATTTGTATTATGAAAAAACCTTCAATTCCAGTTACCATATGTTGTGTAATCATATTGTGGTGTTATCAGTTGGTGTTCAAATTTAATGGAAATGTGGTATTTGCAACATATGCAATATACCATTCAATACATGTAGCATCCAATATAACAATAAAAAGGACAAAACTTAAAATATCCAAGATAACCATTTACCATTAACATAAAGGGACATCCAAAATAGCAACATAGTGTTATGGCATACATATAGTTATCCTAGATAGCAACAAAGTATCAAAATACAAAACATAACAACAAAGTAATATGGCAGTAAATGCCTAACAAAAACATAGTTATCCTTTCATGATCATGATAACAAACTACAAATTCTCAAAGCATGGGGCTTTTTCCCTTCTTCCCAACTCCTTTATTTACACCACCACTACTACCTGCTGCACCTTCTCCTGTTCCATTCCCTGCTGCACCTTCTCCTGTTCCATTCCCAGTCTGTGATTGTCCCTTGCAGGTCCTTCCATTATGTCCCACATTTCCATATTTTGTGCATGTTACAGATTTCCATTTTGTGGACACTCCATCATCTTCTGTTGCAGATCTTCTTCTCTTTTTTTTTGGGTCTGCCAATAGGGACACGATACTTTGGTGGTATCAACTTGGTAGGACATGTGTTTTTTTCCCACAAAAACCTCCCATTAATAGGTTCAACTTTGAAGACATACATTTCTTTCCAAGTCTTGAGCCAATATGTTGGGTGAACCCATGTCTCATGTATTCCAACATTTTCATTGTTAAGCCTCATATCCCATATAGCTGCTATACTATGTTTGCAGGGCATGCCTGTCAGTTCCCACCTGTTACATGAACAAGTTTGTTGTTCCATATTAACCACATACTGATTAGCACCTTCACTTGTAACCTGGTACTTCCCATTGCCAAAGAACACTGCCCTACACTGTACTGCCCTTTCTTTAGTTTTTTGAAGGGTCTTAGTGGCTGTAGGAGTTAATGGGCCATTAGCTTTGTCAATTTCTTTTTGAACCATGACAATTTTCCTCATGATATACTCCCTAATAAACTCCAAGCAACTGATAATTGGCTTATCACGACCCTTCACTATCTTGCTATTCGAACTCTCACACATATTATTCAACAAAGCATCACAATGTGCCCTCCTTGATATAACACAACTATATTAGATTATATTTAAAAAATATACACTTATCAACATAATATTATATACCTGAGAAGTGGGATCTGGACCAGTGCTTAGGTGGAATAGAATTAAGCTAGTCATATGCTTCATTGTTAAGTTTCTTTAGTTCTTCCATGGCACTGTTGAATTGTGGTATGGTGGTACATGTTGCACAATTCCAAAGACAATCCTTGAATTCCTTGCCCCTCCATTTACGTTTCATGTTCTCATGAAGATGCCTTAGGCAATATCTATGCTCTGTTGCTGGGAAAAGTTTCTCAAGTGCAGGCAATAACCCCTAAATCATCAAAAGAGTGAAGTTGCTTATTGAATTGTAAAACATGTAGGTGAAAATGAATGGAGAACTTTAGTTACCTTCTATCTGTCTGATATGAAAGTGAAGTTGGAGTTTGCATACAAACCAAGATCATCTCCTAAGTTAGTTAAAAACCAGGTCCATGAATTAAAGTTCTCTGCTTCAACAACTGCATATGCCAAAGGGTATGTGCAATTGTTCCCATGTAAACCCTGAATTATCATGTCAAACATAGTAATAAGCAAACAGTTAACTATGGTCAAACATTAATAAAAAATGATTATGCACATACCACTGCTGTCAGGATCATACCATGGTATGGACCCTTCATGAATGCACCATCAAGCCCTAGTAAATCTCTTTTCCCTGCTACAAAGCCACTTTTCAGTGGACCAAGACAAATGTATACTCGTTCAAATACCCTGGTCTCAGATGCATAACATGGTTCACTTTGCACTTGAAGTTTGACTATGGTGTTTGAATTTCTACTCTGCACCTCCTGTAAGTAGTCTCTTAGGGACTAAACACGCTTTCTGGCATATGCACGAGGGACCAACAGTGTAATTTACCCTTTTTTTTTTTGATAAAAAACATGGCCTAAAAGAAATTTTAAACGAAAAAAAGTGGTGAGTTTTTTTTGTAAATGATGGATTTTATGGTATAATCTGGTGTGTGTACGTCCAATGTAAAAGTGTACATCTATTTCCTTGGCCGTTGATCGTTATGATTTCCGACGCTCACGATTGGTTCCTTGGTTAATTATGGTTCTCTATTGAACCTCACCCTATATATATATATATATATATATATATATATATATATATATATATATATATATATATATATATATATATATATATATATATAGGGAAGGGTTATTTGGAAAACAAAAAAACCCTAAAAATCATAAAAATGCATAAAAAAAAAATACTTAGAGATCACAAAACTTTTTTTTTAAAATTTTTTTGAAAAAATCGCAGCTTTTTATACAAAATCGGTGAAAAAAATTTTGAAATTTTTTTTTTTTACAAAAAAAAAATTGATTTTTAATTTTTTTTCAGCGAATTTTAACAAAACCTGCGATTTTTTATAAAAAAAAATTCAAAAATATTTTTTGTGATCTCTAAGTATTTTTTTTATGTATTTTTATGATTTTTAGGGTTTTTTAGGGTTTTTTTGTTTTCCATAGAACCTAAATATAATATATAGATATATATATATATATATATATATATATATATATATATATATATATATATATATATATATATATATATTATAATGATTTATCCCTACCCCACGAACAAAACTAAGCAATATTGGCCATGGGGGAGCCCCGGCCTCCAAGTAATCTTCCACAGGAGATTTTATTTTTCCAAATACTACCAAGGCTTCCCGTCAAAGCTCTACCCAATGTAATGTGTGTTTGCAAGAAATGGTACTTGTTCCTAAATTCAGGTGCTTTTGCCACCAGCTACCACCACCACGTAACCGCCAACGATCACCATGAAAACCACCACAAATATATCGTCATACCTACCACAAACCGATATTCATACACATACACCATACAAGAAAAGTTCCGTAGGTTTGACTGTGAAACACCAGAAGATGGTTTAACAGGAAACCTTCGTTTACCATTTTATATACCATTCAATTATGAAAACGTGTCGATTTTAACATCTTTGCATGGATTATTATGCGTAGGCATAAGCGAGGTGGAATGTTCTCCCGAATATTATGCTTTAATTTTATGGAATCCTTTGACAGGTGACAATAAGAAGTTGTCTACAAAGGGTTCTAGGAATGAATGTTACGAGATCTCTGATGGTATATTTGGGTTGTATTATATCTCTTCTGATGACGACTACAGGCTTCTATGTGTGAAACGTTATCCCAATGCTTGTATTTATATATACTCATTAAAATCCGACACATGGAGAAAGGTCAGGTCAACAGAGGACTTCCGACAAAGGGCTTCCAACTGGGCTTCACTTGTAAGTAAGTACCCGGAGCAGCCAAAGCATATACTGTTAAATGAACAACTCTATTTCTTAAAACAAGTTGATAGAGGAAAAGGGGCCTTTATTCATTCATATTCAGTTATGAGGTTCGAAACAAAGACCGAAAAGTTCACAGAGATAGTGATGCCTTCTTTTGGAAATCAAATGACAAGCTCTTTGGATTTCATGGTTCTAAAAGGGTGCATTCACTTATGTGTTGCTATTCTCATCGAGGATAGAAGTTATATGGAAAACCAACGTTGTTATGAAATGATCGAGTTATGGAGGATGGATGGAGATGGAGATTGGACGAAGGTGTTAACTTATGGCCCGATGTCATTTTTTCTTTGGAGTCGGTCGCTACTGCACTTGATGAGAAATGGAAATTGGCTCATTCAAAACGAAGGTGATGTTTACGTATTAGATATGAAGAAGCATACCAAAGAAATGGTGTTAACATGTAACCCAATCTATACCCAGTATATGTCTAAAGAAGCATACTACAGAATGTGTTCCAAAAGTATCACTCCAAGAGGGAAATACATCGAGACTTCTGTGTCACCCAATAAATATTCTCTATATGTATATACATCTCCATCATACTCTTTAAACCTAATTGTTTTTTCTTTCAGTTTTATATATTTTATCTGTGTCACCCAATAAATACTCTGTATATGTATGGAGTAATATCTCCATCATACTCTTTAAACCTAATCGTTTTTTCATTCAGTTTTATATATTTTTATCCGTATGTGTCTAAAAATGTGCCATTGACTTCAACTCATTTATATCTACATCTAGAAAATATTTTTAGTTACAAATAAATCACAAAATTCGTTATCATGCATCTGCAGGCGCGGAAATGAAAGTTCAAAATAAATAGCTTAGAATGGTGTACTGTTGGGTCGTGGGCGGAATATGTAAGTTATATTTATCATTTTTTAAATATAACATTCTCAGCTTTTAGTTCAATAACAATCATATTGTTTTGATAAATTTCAGGAGGCATATGAAAGAGTCATGATTGAGAAGTATGGGAACGATGTCACTCAACATCCGGAGGAAACTGTTGAGTTACGGGTGCAAAGTCAGGGAGGAAGATCCTCAGATCTTAAGTTCGCGATAACAGGAACACCCTCTGGGGGTTGTGTCATGTCCTCCATTGAGTACAAAGAGTCACAAGAACAGGTACACTAATTTAATATATGCATTGAGTTCTTATAAAGAAATAAAGTATGTTGGTTTAACTTTTTAAGAATGAATTACGTTGTCTATGTTACTAAAAAATTATGTATTTTTTGTTATTATGGATAAATAATCAAATACGCCTCTATTATAAAAACAAAGTGTGTTGCTATAATAATGAATAAAAATGTAAAGTACATTGCTATTATAGTTAAAATGTAAAATATGTTACCTTTTATAGAGATAAAATGCAAGTACAATAATTCACTACTCGATACTCGTTCAGTCGAATGAGGAGTAGTAAGTACTTGGCCTAGGTGGGGAATACTTGAGGAGCACAATAAGGTAAATTATACAAAAATTGTATATATATAAACGAAAAATTCATTGAAGTTTATAACAAAGTAGCTGAAATATAAGTTAAAACGATATATATATATATATATATATATATATATATATATATATATAGACACACACACACACATACACACACACACGACAAATATCATAAAGAACTCAAGTTTATAAAAAAGAATATGGAATCTATCTATATCTATATCATACATACTTATAAAGCTAGCATTTTTTCTTGAATCTCATGCATTTGAAACCCCCTTTTTTAACTTCCTTTCACCACATTCATTTGAAACTCCCATGACTTTTCAATTTCTTTACAATAATATTATAAATAAGTTAAATAATGTTCTATAAACAAGAAATGGTGTTTTATTACAATGTCTTCATCCCACATCGATGGTAAGAGTAAACAAGAGAATGTTTCATCTTCTATAAATAGGAAATGATGTGAAATGTTTCAAATGGACCAAACCATGAGAACTTCCTCATGCCTATCTTTGTAGGATTTTGAAGGTATTATTTGGTGAAATTGTCTATATTGGCAAGTGCCAGTCAACTTTTAGAATTCCAAAAATGGTTTTGAACCGAATTTTTTCAGGTTTAAACCGTGTTTCAGTTAGAAAAAAAATTATGTAGTTGGGTATATTGAGTTGAACCGGAGCTGGATCAATTTGGACCGATAAAGGAATCATTTTCCTTTCACAACAAACATTTGAAACTCCCATGATTTTTCAAATTATTTCTAATAATATTATAAATAAGTTACATAATTTTATATAAATATAAAAAAACATCTACCTAAACCTAAAATTATAACTGTTTGAAAAATCACTTTGATTCAAAAGCACGAAATATATACAAACCGGGTTTCACTAGAAAAAAAAATATGTAGTTTGGTATATTTAGTTGAATTGGTCCGAGTTTGATGTATTTGGACCATAAAAGAAGCATTTTCCTTTCACTACATATATTTGAAACTCCCATGATTTTTCAAATTGTTTCCAATGATATTTTAAAAAAGTTACATAATGTTATATAAATATAAAAAAACATCTACCTAAACATAAAATTATAATTGTTCGAAAATTCGATTTAATCAAAAGCACGAAATATATACGCAGATTATATTTTATAAATGAATTCTTTTTATAATGAACTTTTGAATCTTGAAAATAAATATAAAACAAACTTCTATATTAAGTACCTAACTGAATTTATGATTTTACAATTGAACAAAAAGTTATTCAATAAAAACTTACTTTATTGGATAGCAACTTACGAGATTATAGAAAAATGGAACTATTGAACAATAAAGAAAGGGTAAACAAGAGAAATGGTGTTTTACTAAATAAGTTGAATAATGTTTTATAAACAAGAAAGCGTGTTTTATTACAATGTCTTCATCCCACATCGATGGTGAGAGTAAACAAGAGAACGTTTCCTCTTCTATAAATAGGAAAGGTTGTGAAATGTTTCAAAGGGACCAAACCATGAGAACTTCCTTATGCCTACCTTTTTAGGATGTTGAAGGTATTCTTTGGTGAGATTGTCTTTATTGGCAACTGTCCATTTAAGTTTTAGAATCCCGAAAATGGTTTTGAACAAGATTTTTTTAGGTTCAAATAGAGTTTCAGTTGAAAAACCGTTATGTAGTTTGGTATATTGAGTTGAATCGGTCTGAGTTTGATCAATTTGGACCGATAAAGGAAGCATTTTCCTTTCAGCACATACATTTGAAACTCCCATGATTTTTCAAATTGTTTCTAATAATATTATAAATAAGTTACCTAAACATAAAATTATAATTGTTTGAAAAATAAATTTGATTCAAAAACACAAAATATATACAAACCGGATTTCAATAGAAAAAACGTTATGTAGTTTGGTATATTAAGCTGAATCGGTCCGAGTTTGATCAATTTGGACCGATAAATGAAGCATTTTCCTTTCACCACATACATTTGAAACTCTCATGATTATTCAAATTGTTTAATAATATTATAAGTTATATAATGTTATATAAATATAAAAAAATCTACCTAAACATAAAATTATAATTGTTTGAAAAATCACTTTGATTCAAAAGCACGAAATATATACTCGATTATATTTTATAAATGAATTCATTTTATAATGACATTTTGAATCAAGAAAATACATATAAACAAACTTTCTATATTAAGTACCTAACTGAATTTATGATTTTAGATTTAACAAAAAGTTATTCAATAAAAACTTTAATTTTTTATAGCAACTTACGAGATTACTGAAAAATGGAACTATTGAACAATAAATTTTCTGGATAACGTTTTATTTTTATTATTTAATATTTTATTTAACAAAATGAAATTATTGGCAAATAAAGAAATGCGTTTAATTAAAATGTCTTCATCCCACATTGATCGTGAGAGTAAACAAGAGAATGTATTATCCTCTATAAATAGGAAAGATTGTGAAATATTTCAAATGGACTAAGCCATGAGATCTTCCTTGCATCTAACTTTGTAGGACGTTGAGTGTATTCTTTGGTGAGATTGTCTTTGTCGACAAGTGACAAATTAAATTTCAGAATTTCGAAAATGATTTTGGACCGTATTTTTTAGATTGGGATCGAGTTTAATAAGGATCCGAGTGTCTTCTGGCCGAGTTAGGCAAACTCGCTTCCATTGGAGGCCGAGTTTAAGTAACATGCCGAGTATTTGGTTGTGTTAGCCAAGTTTTACAACCCTGTATGTAATACAATTTAAAGTTTTAACCTTATAAAAGACGTCACTATTATCATATGTTCTACATAATTATGGTAATATTTATGATACAAAACATTTTCTTTACTATTTAAGATAAAAAGTTGTCTCTATTATCATATGTTGTACAGAATGATAAAATTTAAGATAGATAAAAAGATGTCTCTATTATCGTATTTTCTACATAATGATAATATTTAATATAAATGTTTTAATTTAATATGAAATTATTATTAAATAGATAACAATAATGATTTATTTATTTTAATTTTTTTTTCTATTTTAATCATATAACTTTGAATATGCAAAACAACTTCAAGTTCCAACCGTATCTCTTATAATATAGTTCAACATAATAACAATACTAAAATCATTTTTTATATTTCTTATGAAATTATTATTTAATTGTTAATAACAATGATTTAGTTATTTTTAATATAAAATATTTTTTTATATCCCACGCAACGCGCGGGCATTCGCCTAGTATACTTATAAAGGAAGCATTTTTCCTTTCACCACATTCATTTGAAACTCCCATGACTTTTCAATTTCTTTCTAATAATGATTATAAGTTGGTTAATAAGGTTAAATAAATATCAAACCTAAAGTATAATCATATAAACTAAATTTTAATATTAAAAGAATATATTTACTTATACTTATAAAGTTATGTTTTTTAACTTTTAACATATTATACTTAATTTATTAGTTTTAATATATTGTTGGATGTAAACCATTATCATTTTATATCTACAACTTTTGAAAATTTTGTATAAAATACTTAAATTATTAATTTAAATATAACATTACATGGTCAACTTAAATATAAATTTTAGTTTAACTTAAACAACCCAAAAAATATTTTGTAAATAGTTAAAAGTGATAAATTGTAGTGTCTTTCTAATAATGATTATAAGCTGGTTAATAAAGTTAAATAAATATCAAACCTAAAGTGTAATCATAGATAAACTAAATTTCAATATTAAAATAATATCTTTACTTCTACTTATAAAGTTATGTGTTTAACTTTTAACATATTATACTTAATTTATTAGATTAATATGTTGTGGTTATAAAACCTTATCAGGTTTAAGCGACAACTTTTGAACAATTTGGATAAAATACTTAAATTGTTACTTTAAATATAACATTACAATGTCAACTTAAATATGAATTTCAGTTCCACTTAAAAACCCCAAACAATATTTTTTGATTAGTTAAAAGTGATAAATTGTGGTGCTAAATGCAAAAACTAAATTGTAATCTCAATTTAACTAAAATATTTCCGAAAAATATTCTTATAATCGTTAAAAAATTTCAAATAAGTAACTTAAAATAACCTACAATAACAATAGTTTAAAATAACTGTATATAAATGATTATATTGTTACCTTTAAAATCAAAAAACCACGGTTTGAGGTTTAAATAATTATAATGATAGAAATGAAAACGTTAAGCAAATAATTTTAAAAAATTAATTAACAATAACAAAAACTATAAATAACATTAAACTATATATTATATTTAATTTTATTCATAAGTAACTCACGGATGGAAGTCATTCAAACGATGAGATTATGCAGTTATAATATATGTATAGATTATCATATAATTCAAAATAATCAATATATTATATCAATTATACGAATTATTATATCAAATTTAACAACAACGTTATTATTATATTTAAAAAAACATATATTTGTAAAGATTTCAACTATATAGGTGTTTATGTGCAACGCGCGGGCATTCGCCTAGTATACTTATAAAGGAAACATTTTTTCCTTTCACCACATTCATTTGAAACTCCCATTCATTTTTCTTTTCACCACATTCATTTGAAACTCCCATGACTTTTCAATTTCTTTCTAATAATGATTATAAGTGGGTTAATAAGGTTAAATAAAT